AGTCTCCTGTTCTCTGTCTCTCTCTCTGTCTCTCTGTCTGTCTCTCTGTCTGTCTCTCTCTCTGTCTGTCTGTCTCTCTCTCTCTCTCTCTGTCTCTGTCACTCACTCACTCACTCACTCACTCACTCACTCACTCACTCACTCACTCACTCACAGCCTTGCTTTGTTGCCCAGGCTAGAATGAGTGCCATGGCATCAGCCTAGCTCACAGCAACCTCAAACTCTGGGCTCAAGTGATCCTTCTGCCTCAGCCTACCGAGTAGCTGGGACTACAGGCATGCACCACCATGCCTGGCTAATTTTTTCTATATATTTTAGTTGGCCAATAATTTCTTTCTGTTTTTAGTAGAAGACGGATCTCGTCTTGCTCAGGCTAGTCTCGAACTCCTGAGCTCAAGCAATCCTCCTGCTTCGGGCTTCCAGAGTGTTAGGATTACAGGCATGAACCACCTTACCTGGCCCCTTTACCATTCTTACTGTCTTGTTCAGTGTATTGCATTGTCTTTCAAGAGGTTATAAAAGAAGACTGGAGGCCGGGCGCTGTGGCTCACGCCTGTAATCCTAGCTCTTGGGAGGCCGAGGCGGCGGATTGCTCAAGGTCAGGAGTTCAAACCAGCCTGAGCAAATGAGACCCGTCTCCTACTAAATAGAATGTGACACCATGGCACTATAGCCCGGGCAACAGAGTGATACTCTGTCTCAATCAATGAATGAATGAATGAGAAAAAAGCATCAGATTGATCCTTCTATTGGTGTTTATAAATCTAAAAATGAAAGCATTTTGCCATTATGGAGCAAAGAAGATGGTTGTCTTCAACAAAATTTAGTCCATTTTAAAAGAAGCGTGTTTTGACAATAGCAGTATAAGAAGAATCAGAAGTCCTGATGAGCTAGATCCTGTTGTAGATGTCTTTGAAATCTGACATCACTGTATGTGTTCTGTACCCCAGGTTCAGGCAAATCAGGTGATAAGCAGTTAGTTGCATGTAGGGGACTGTGCCCATTTTGGGTATATGTGCCTTCCAAACTAGAAACGTGGAATAAAAATTTGGGTTTGCTATTTTAAAATTCTTATTAAAGTATAAAATGGCGTCGTCATCCTTTTATTCTGTAAATTATTCGTAAAATACCTTTAAATATAGAAAAATAAAAGGGTCTATTAGAGCCAGATGATAAATGGTGATGACTATTTTTCCTGGCATACTTGAGGGTTAAGCATGGTTCACAGCATTTTCTCTTTCTTTAATGTTGCCTAGATTTTATTGCCAAACTATTCACTGTGGGGATTGACTGGTTAACATTAACAGTAATTCACATTTTGAGAAAGTAACACTAAGGGCTTATAACATGTTTCAGAATTTTATTCCTTTTTAAGGCTGAATATTTTTTATTTTTTTATTATTAGTTTTATTTATTTATTTATTTATTTTTGAGACAGAGTCTCACTGTGTTTCCCAGCCTAGAGTGCCATGGCATCAACCTGGCCTACAGCAACCTCAAACTCCTGGGCTCAAGCGATCCTCCTGCCTCAGCCTCTCAAATAGCTGGGACTACAGGCATGCGCCCATGCCCAGCTAATTTTTTCTATATATTTTTAGTTGGCCAATTAATTTCTTTCTATTTTTAGTAGAGATGGGGTCTTGCTCTTGCTCAGGCTGGTTTCAAACTCCTGACCTTGAGAGATCCAACTGCCTCGGCCTCCCAGGGAGCTTGGATTACAGACGTGAGCCACTGTGCCCGGCCTGAATATTTTATTATATGAGTATTTCACATTTTGTTTGTCCATTCATCTGTTGGTGGACATTTTGTGTTGTTTTTACCTTTTGGCTATCGTGAATAATGGTACTGTGAACATTGGTGTGCAAATATCTGTTTGAGTCAGGTCTTAGAGTATATATGTAGAAGTGGAATTGCTGAATCATACACTAGTTCTATGTGTAACTTTTTGAGGAACTACCAACCTTTTCCACAGCAGCTGTAATATTACATTTTCATCTGCAACACAAGGCCTCGAATTTCCCAACATCCTCACTAACACTAATTTTCTGTTCGTTTGATAATGGCCATCCTTATGGATGTATAGTGGTATCTTATTATGGTTTTGATTTGCATTTCTCTACTGATTAATGATGTTGAACCACTTTCATGTGTTTGTTGGCTGTTTGTATATCTTTGGAGAAATGCTTATTTAAGTTCTTTGCTCCTTTTTGAATTGGGTTTTATTGTTGAGTTGAAGTTCTTTACATAGCCTAGGTATTATTCCCCTATGGATGATTTGTAGATCCCATTCTGTGGGTTGTCTTACTCTCTTGATAGTATCTTTTTATGTACAAAAGTTAAATTTTGATGAAGTACAATTATTTCTTTTGTTGCCTGTGCTTTTGGTGTCATTTCTAGGACATCATTGCCAAATATATTATCATGAAGCTTTTCCCCTGTGTTTTCTTCTGAGAGCTTTATACTTTTAGTGCTTACATTTAAGTCTTTGATCCATTTTTTAGTTAATTTTTGAATATGGTATGAAGTAAAGGTCCTACTTTATTATTTTGCATGTGGATATCTGGTTTTCTCAGCATCACTGTTTTTTTTTTTTTAATTTTAATTCTTTACTTTTTCATTTTCTTCTTCTTCTTCTTTTTTTTTTTTTTTGAGACAGAGTCTCACTTTGTTGCCTAGGCTAGAGTGAATGCCATGGCATCAGCCTAGCTCACAGCATCCTCAAACTCCTGGGCTCAAATGATCCTCCTGCCTTAGCCTCCCGAGTAGCTGGGACTACAGGCACGTACCACCCTGCCGTATATTTTTAGTTGGTCAATTAATTTCTTTCTATTTTTAGTAGAGATGGGGTCTTGCTCTTGCTCAGGCTGGTTTCAAACTCCTGACCTTGAGCAGTCCGCCAGCCTTGGCCTCCCAGAGTGCTAGGATTACAGGCGTGAGCCACTGCACCAGCCTCAGCATCACTGTTGAGCAAACTTCTAAAAATACAGGGTTTTGTTTTTTTTTAGTTTACAATCTATTTAAAGAAGTTTCAAACCAAACCTCTGTGGAACCCCTGCCTTATAAGGCACCTTACTTGAAGATTTCTGGTTTTGTGGATTCACTCATAAAAAAAGTAGGTCCTTTTTCTCCTTAGGATTTAAAAAACAGCAATGCAAGTATGTTTAGGTTAATAAACCATCAGAAATGCTATGCAAATAGTTTCGACTCTGCTGATAGTAAAGTGTAACCAGTCTGGAAAGAAAACATAGGAGAGAAGGAATTACAAATAGCATCTGGAATAAAATGTCTTTGTCCAGGATTATACCTTTGATCATATTAATGTTTTTTAAACCTAGAGTTTTATTTTAATTACAGCTTATAATATTAGGCCATCGTAGGTGGGATATACCTGATATACCTAAGGAAATGCACAAGAGATAAAATCTTGGATAGTCCTGCACTTTGCCTGTTTAGCAGTTTCAGCCATGAGTTCTAATCTTGGAAACAGGACTTTACAAATTCTTTGGCAAAAGGGAAGCAATTATGTGAAGAAAAACACAGGAGTCTTGCTATGTCTTGGGAACTTTGCTATTACTGAGCTTATCTAGTTTCTCATAAGAGCACTACAACACTATATAAAATCCATGTTAGCACGCAGAGAGAAGATCCCTGCCTCTCTTTAATCCCATCCCTGATTGGAAGACTGTAAATGAACTTTGTTACATAGATAAAATCTCTGCCTTTGTTCAGGAGACTTTATTAGTTTGCATGTTGAATGTTTGCCAGTAGCAATAAGTAATTCATGGCAGTTTTGTAATTTCTGTTTCATCACATCTTTTTTATTTTTATTTTTTTTTAAGAGACAGGGTCTCACTTTGTTGCCCAGGCTAGAGTGCAGTGGCATGATCATAGCTCATTGCAGCCTCGAACTCCTAGGCTTGAGGGATCCTCCTACTTCAGCCTCCCATGTAGCTGGAAGTACAGGTGTGCTCCATTGCCCCCAGTTGTTGTATCCTTTTTAAAAGTGCTTTCCAGGGACTTTATGTCCAAATAAGAAACCTATATATTTCAGTTGGAGAGACTTATATTTGAACTTGCCATGTCCCACACAGATCTTGTCTGTATTTTGACTCTTCCAAAACATGGCTTATTAATACTGAGGAGTACTTTGGAAGTGACTGTTTCTAAGCAGCAGTGGCATCTTGCTGCACCACAACTAGGCGCATTCATACCCAAAAGTCTGTTAGGTTTGCATTGTTTATAGTGCATTATTGAGGCATAATCTGACTCAGGTTTGACCAGGATACTTGTTTTTAACTTTCAAATTCAATGCCATATGATATGCATGTGGCCTTGGTTAAATCCATAAAGCCAAGTGTCAGAGCTTTTAAGGTTTATCCCATTACAGCTAGGATGTTGATGATTTTGATAAGTGTTAACTACTAAACAGTTATTTTTCTTTTAGGTAAATGGAAGAGAATCAGAAGAAGAAAATCTCAATAAATCTGAAGTAAGTCAAGTGTTTGAGATTGCACTTAAACGGAACTTGCCTGTGAATTTTGAGGTAAGCTTATTTTTTTCCCCATTTACTTTTTGTCTGTATTTGTGGGGTACAAGTACAGTTTTGCTACATTGATATATTGCGTTGTGGTGAAGTCAGGGCCTTCTGTGCATACATCACTAAAGGAATGCACATTGTACCCAGCAAGCAACCTGTCATCATTCACCCCTTCGCATCTCCTCCACTCCTCCAAATCTCCATTGTTCCACATGCTGCTTCCATATGTATGCGTTGTGTTTTACTCCCACTTATATGTGAGAACATATGGTGTTTGTCTTTCTGCATCTGAGTTGTTTCACTTAAGATAATGGCCTTCAGTTCCATCCAGGGTGCTGCAAAGACATGATTTCATTCTTTTTTATACCCGAATGGTATTCCATTATGTGTATATACATTTTCTTTATCCATTTCTCCGCTGATGGACACTTAGGTTGACTGCATGTCTTTGCTATTGTCAATAGTACTGCAGGTAAGCGTATTTTAAATGTAGGACTTTGTTATTATGAAATCCTGTTAACATTCATCATAGGAATGATTTTTTTTCCCCCTAAGCAACATTGGAACACTTCATATAATATAAACTTCCAGATTTAAAACGCAAACTTTATATTTAGCAAAGCAGTATTTATTCTGCTCTTCTAGGAGTCCGTAGGGGCGTCCATGGATCTCTAGATAAGTCCAAGGATGGCCTGAGTTGGGCTATAAACCTCCTGAACTGGTCTAAAGAACGTGATATTTCTTATTTATTTATTTTTTTTTTGAGAGAGGCTTACTCTGTTATCCGGCTAGAGTGCCGTGGCGTCAGCCTAGCTCACAGCAACCTCAATCTCCTGGGCTCAAGCAATCCTCCTGCCTCAGCCTCCTGAGTAGCTGGGACTACAGGCATGTGCCACCATGCCCGGCTAATTTTTTCTATATGTATTAGTTGGCCAATTAATTTCTTTGTATTTATAGTAGAGACGAGGTCTCGCTTTTGCTCAGGCTGGTTTCGAACTCCTGACCTTCAGCAATCCGCCCGTCTCAGACTTCCAGAGTGCTAGAATTACAGGTGTGAGCCACATGCCTGGCTGTCGCGCCCGCCTCGCCAGCAAGGAAGACGTGGCAACAGGAGTTCTTCTGACAGTGCTTTAATGGGGTTCCCTTTAGACTTACATGATGCGGAAGACCCAGCCCGGCAGCGTGCAGGCCGCTATATACCCCAGAAGTACAACCCCTAAGCTGCGATAGGCCGCTCAACTGTCGAGCCACCAAAGCATTAGTCCATATCAGGACCCTTTGTTTGCATTCTCGCGCCACAGGGCAACCGACAATTGTGCGTGCGCTGAACTTGTTAGCTGCTCTAGGCAAAGCTGGAAACAGGCGCCAACTTGTAAATGGCGTTGACACCGCGCCCCACACCTGGCCTTTTCTATATATTTTTAGCTGGACAATTAATTTATTTTTAGTAGAGACATGGACTCACTCTTGCTCCGGCGGGTTTCAAATTCCTGACCTCGAGCGATCCGCCTGCCTCGGCCTCCCAGAGTGCTGGGATTACAGGCGTCAGCCACCTCGCCCAGCCAGAATATGTTAATGTCCACATGTGTATTCTTCTGGAGCAGAGGAGTCCATCACTTTCATCTATCTCAAAAGCATCTTTTTTTTTTGAGACAGAGTCTCACTTTGTTGCCCAGGCTAGAGTGAGTGCCATGGCGGCAGCCTAGCTCACAGCAACCTCAAACTCCTGGGCTCAAGCAATCCTGCTGCCTCAGCCTCCCGAGTAGCTGGGACTACAGGCATGCGCCACCGTGCCCGGCTAATTTTTTCTATATGTATTAGTTGGCCAATTAATTTCTTTGTATTTATAGTAGAGATGAGGTCTCACTCTTGCTCAGGCTGGTTTCCAACTCCTGACCTCGAGCAATCCACCCGCCTCGGCCTCCCAGAGTGCTAGGATTACAGGCGTGAGCCACCACGCCCGACCTCAAAAGCATCTTTACCATCAAAATATTAAGACTCTCTTTAAATGGTCCCTATAAGCCTTGTCAGAATAATTTTGAAAAGGATAGAGGTTTTGTCATTGTCTAGCATCTGCCCCCCAGTTTACCTGTTTTATAAGTTCATGTGTTGTTGGAGATCGTGTGGTCTAAAAACAAAGTTAACGAGTTGTTAGTCAGAATGGAAAATAAGGTTGATTCGCTGTGGTGCTCAGGCAGGTCTTGAACTCACTGGCTTAAGTGATCCTCCCCTCTGGCCTTCCAAAGTGCTAGGATTACAGGCGTGAGCCACTACGCCCAGCCTGCCTATTTCTTTTTTTTAAAAAAGCCTATCTGAAGTTTATTATCCTGTAAAGTACTTTAATTTTGTAGCACTTTTTACAGTTATAGGTGACCCTCAAATTTTATGCCTGACTATCATAAAATAATATACCTTCTGGAACCTCCTATGTGCTAGCACCCTAAACTTACCCCACATCCAGTCCTTCATCCATCAGCTGAGTGATGATGATTTTTCACCTTCAACCTGTTGGTGCTTCCCTGCCTGCCATGGGTCAGAGGTAGGACGGGGGTTACCCATTGTTGATGGGGCTTGACTGTATGCAAGGATTGTCCCTTCATCCTCCAACACCCATCTCAATCCCTGAGACCCCGGGCAGGTAAGACCAGGTTTATATTGCTCCCTATGTGGAGAATAGAGCCCCCAGATGGATCTAGGACTACTCTCTTCTCACCTGGCCCTACATTCTTCCCTGCCTTTCCGTGTTGGTGGAGGCAGGGTGTGGTTGGGGAGACACGAATGGCACTGTGGGCTAGTTGTTGGGTGGGAAATAGATGGCAGCTGCATCCCAGAAGTCCTGAGATCTTCCTCAACACCTATTTCAGGAAAGGGAAGAAATACTCCTTTTCTCCCTTGCTGAGGTCTTAGTGTGGTGTGAACATGGAATTTTAAAGATCAAAGGAAGGTGTGCCAAGACTGTGGGATGGGAAATGCCTGGCTTTCCAGGTCACCTCAGGGTTCCAGAGGTAATTGCTTGGGCCAGAGCCCTGAAACTTGTCACCTGTTCACCCTAGTTGCTGCCCCGAGAGTCACAGAGCTTTCTAGAAATAGCGAGCTTTCAGAGATTGCTATTTTATGCTTTTTCTCTGGGATGTGGGGGCCAGACTGCTTGCTTCCCACCGTCACTCTTGTTAAGGTTTCAGTTTTGGCTTTCAAACCTGTGCTCAGGCATATGTAATATATAATAGGGAATTGTCAAGTAGTCACTTAAAAAACTGGAGGAGCACCCTCTGGTGGTAAGTATCTTTTAAAGTAATAATTTAAAACTGCAGTCCCTAACTCCTGGGCTGTGAACTGAGACTGGGACTGGGCCCCAGACCGCAGAGGTCTGCTGTGTCCATGTGCCCTCCCCCTGTGGAAAAATTGTCTTCCATGAAACTTAGGAATGGGGGACGCGCAGCAGGAGGTGAGCACTCGCCATCACTCACATCACTGCCTGAGCTTATCCTGCCCCCCCTACTGCCTCAGCCCCTGTGCCCCATCCATGGAAAAATTGTCTCCCATGAATCCAGTTCCTGGTGCCAAAAAGGTTGGCACCTTTTTAAAAAAGGTGCTGATTTAAAACATTAGTTTTTAGGTTGTGGCAGTGAGTTTGTTAATATGATTACTTTTATTCATATACCACAAAGTTCATATTAGCCTTTATTACTAGGTTGAGCAAGGGCTTTCTTTTCTGCTGCACTAGAAAGATTGCCTGCCATGTATTGGATACTCAGAAAATGTGTAAATGAACAGGATAGTTAGTTTTTGGTAGTAGCATCTGTCAAATTGTAAGCTGTGTTAGGTGTTTTAATAGAAGACAGCAATTTGTACAGTTTTTCAGAAAAAATGTATACAGCTTGACTTTTAATAAAACACAGTTTTAGTTAGAAAATGTGATGGTGCTGATTGATACAGCCTTGAGGAGGCAGTTGTGACATGATCAGACCAAGTGCAATCTAGGTCAGACTCTAGGTTTAGTTCGTGGAGTCCTGATGTGGGTAGACAGTGAAAATTGTTGGGGAGGTACCAAGGTGGGGCTGTGAATTTGAGGTGAGCCATCAGGGTGGCTGCCCTGTCCTTCCCAAGTCTAACCTAAGAATGTGGACAGCACTGTTCTGAGGAGAAGTATCTAGAATCTAGGCCATTGATATGTGGGGAAGGGGCTGGGTAAGTTCTTGAAAAGCAGTCTGCAGGGGCCTGTGCAGGCTGGGTCCTCCCTGCTGTAGGGCGGTCCAGGAGTTGTGCTGCGACATCTTGCCCACTCCCCAGCAATGCCAGCTGCCGCTTGGGTTTATTTATCTGGCCATTTTTTCAACTTATTATTTTCAGTAATTTCAAACCTGTGTAAAAGTTGTAAGAATAGGACAATGAATATAACGCTCACTTAGATTCACCAGAGTTTAACATTTTACCATATGTGCCTTTTCTTTCTCTGTAAATATACATATTATTTTCTGTTTTTCACTTTTGCTACATCATTCTATAGTAAGTGGCAGATATTATACCCTTTGGCTCCTCCTAATAGAAGTTGTTTTCCCATCTAGTGTCCAACACAGCACCACCTTGCACTCAGTTGATTGGTCTCTTCAGTCTCCTTTAATCTGTAACAGTTCCTCCACCTTTCTTGTGTTTCATGACATTGGCATGTTTAAAGACCAGTTATTTTGTGAAATGACCTTTTATTTCACTATGTCTGGCTGTTTACTCATGATTAAGTTCTGGTTACGCATTTGTTTGTGGCAGGATCACCATGGCAGTGATGTTGATCCTTCTCAGAGCATTACATCCTGTCACTTTATCTCAGTGTTGGTCTATACGAGACATGCTCCGCTGTAGGGAGGCTTCTTTTCCTTTGTAATTAACTCATAACCTGTGGGGAGATGTTTGAAGGTTGGGCCCTCACAGATTTCCCTAGTGGTTCCAGCAGTCACTGATGATTCTTGCTGGATCAGTTATCTTTATGGTGGATGTCTAAATGGTGATTTTCTGTATTTTCAAGTTGGCATTATACTGTAAAGAAAATCTTTCGTTTATCCCTTTATATTACAACAATTTGTATCAGGATAGAGGCATTGCCTTTTTTATTCAAGTGTTAATCCATTTAAAGAAATGTTGGTATGGAACAGTCAGGTTTCTTTCTTTTTTTTTTTAAACAGGGTTTCGTTCTGTCTCGTGTGATGTGTGCCAGCCACTGTGCCCCACAGCTCTTACTAAGTGTCTGTCCGCTTTCACTCAGTCTTTCCCTCTGACACAGGTGGCCCGGGAGAGCGGCCCACCCCACATGAAGAACTTTGTGACCAAGGTTTCAGTTGGGGAGTTCGTGGGGGAAGGTGAAGGGAAGAGCAAGAAGATTTCAAAGAAAAATGCAGCAATAGCTGTTCTTGAGGAGTTGAAGAAGTTGCCCCCTCTGCCCTCAGTTGAGCGAGTGAAACCTAGAATCAAAAAGAAAACAAAACCCACAGCCAAGGTGAGGTCTGTTCTGAACAAAGAGAGGGTATTTTTATTGCCTTTGATGGTTGGGGGTTTTAGATCGTTGGCTGCTATCCCCAGGGTGAAAGGGGATGGAACCAGTATGCCTATGTGCCAGGCCTTGCAGATCCTTTCCAGGTGCTACGAGAGCCACAGGTTAGGTGCTGTTAAGGACACGCATCAGTTCAGCAGAAGTGCCTGCAGACGCACGCACCTCTGTGTGAGGGGCGCTCATTGAAGCCCCATCACTGCAGGGTGGAGTGGGGTGAACCGAGAGGCCCATCTTTAGGGCACGTGGGTATATCACGGTGCTACCATCTCAATGGCTACCATGCTGTCCTGAAGGTGGAAGAAACCTGTGCCCCGGCCAGGGGCCCCCTGGGCGCAGGTGGGAGTGAGATGTTTTATCTGTGCCTTCTTTGGATTTTTGAGCTGCCCTAATGGACCTATCAAAACATAGATCGACCCCTTCCTCATCCCCAGAAGGGGGACAGGATTCCATTTGGGGACATTTATGAATTCGAGGATTTTTCTGTTTTGATTTTCAGTATACATAGTTTCATGCTATATCAAGATCCAAATTTTTCTTACATAAAAGTGAATAGACTATATACTCTTTTGTAGTTTCCTTTTTTCACTTAACGTAGCCTGGAAATCATTCCTGATCAGTGGACTGGGTGAGAATTCCTTGGCACAGAAGGTGGCCACCAGGAAGTAACCGTGGGATTCTTAGCTTTTTCCACGTGGTGTCACCTTGAGATTTTTTATTTATTTTTTAATGGCTTTTGGATTTTGAGTCATTGTTAAGAAAGTTGGGAACCCATCATCATAAAACAGACTTTTGGAGAATTTTAGGAATAGTGTTTTATATTTTTTCTGCCTATTTATTGTCGTATGTTAAAATTTGTTAAAAAGCAGGTGTTGCAACAATGCTTGCCTAGTCATAGTGAAATATTGATGGCTTGCTAAAACCTTAAAATCACCTCAGAACAATCATAGAAAATCGTAAAGCATATTTTAATTTTAAAAGGTTAAGTTAAAAAAAAGGTCTGATTCATTCTGAGCCATTAGATGAACATAAAGTCTGTCATCTCTTTCTGTTATCTCCTATCATATTCTGACCTCTGAATTGGTCAGGTCCTTTCTGTGAATAATGTGCAAAACAGTTTCTGCATTCTTTGTCCCTCAGCCGCAGACAAGCCCAGAATGTGGCCAAGGGATAAATCCAATTAGCAAACTGGCCCAGATCCAGCAGGCAAAAAAGGAGAAGGAGCCGGAGTACATGCTCCTCACAGAGCGAGGCCTCCCGCGCCGCAGGGAGTTCGTGATGCAGGTGGGTTTGCTTAGGATGTGGGTGGCCCTTCCTCTGACCACGTCTGGTCTTGGGAGCTGATCATGGTCTGAGGGCTGGCCGCCTTGTCAGCAAACATTATCATTATCAGGACCAGGTTGCTTGCACTAATCTGACAACTTAAAAACATGCACTTGTCAGTATACCATAGGGACTGCTGTGTGCCCAGGTGGAAATGTGGTAACAAAATTTTCAAGAGTGTTGGGGTGGTGTGGGATTATGGGTGAATTTCTTCATTACATTTTGGAGGTTTATGGTATTTTTATCTTTAAAAGATAAATTTTGGCTGGGGGCGTTGGCTCACACCTGTAATCCTAGCACTCTGGGAGGCCGAGGTGGACAGATCACTCAAGGTGAGGAGTTCAAAACCAGCCTGAGCAAGAGCAAAGACCCCATCTCTACTAAATATAGAAAGAAAGTATCTGGCCAACTAAAAATATGTAGAAAAAATTAGCCAGGCATGGTTGCGCATGCCTGTAGTCCCAGCTACTCAGCAGGCTGAGGCAGGATTGCTTGAGCCCAGGAGTTTGAGGTTGCTGTGAGCTAGGCTGACGCCACAACACTCTAGCCTGGGCAACAGAGTAAGACTCTGTCTCAGAAAAAACGCAAAAGATAAATTTTGGCTGAGTGCAGTGGCTCACATCTGTAATCCTTAGCACTCTGGGAGGCAAAGACTACAATATTGCTTGAGCTCAGGAGTTTGAGACCACCTGAGCAAGTCCCTGTTTCTACAAAAAAATAGAAAAATTAGCTGAGTGTGGCTCCGATAGTCCCAGCTACTTGGTAGGCTGAGGCAGGAGGGTCACCTAAGCCCAGGAGTCTGAGGTTGCAGTGAGCTACAATGATTCCATTGCACTCTAACTGGGGTGACAGAGCAAGACTGTCTTAAAAAAAAAAAAAATATATATATATATATATATTTACATTCGCAAGTAATATCAAAGGATCTATTCCTACTTCTCCTAATACTTTTGTAGCATCTGGAATCAAGGATTGGTTTTTCTTAGATTGTGGTGACACTTCAGATTAGTATGGAGTGTTTTCCCTTGTACTTAGCTTATTAAATGAGCATTTCACATGGGCAGCTTGATTTAATTGTGACTTGAATTTGATAGTGTTTTCCAATGAAAAACAGAATATTAAACACTGCGTAGCAGTTTATAACCTATAAAGAATTGTCATTGGGCTGGGCGTGGTGGCTCACGCCTGTATTCCTAGCACTCTGGAAGACCGAGGCGGGTGGATCACTCAGGAATTCTAGACCAGTCTGAGCAAGAGTGAGACTCCGTCTCTACTAAGAATAGAAAGAAATTAATTGGCCAACTAAAAATACATAGAAAAAAGTTAGCTGGGCATGGTGGTGCATGCCTGTAGTCCCAGCTACTCGGAAGGCTGAGGCAAAATTGCTTGAGCCAAGGAATTCGAGGTTGCTGTGAGCTAGGCTGACACCACAGCACTCTAGCCCGGGCAACACAGTGAGACTCTGTCTCAAAAAAACAAACAAAAAAGAATTGTCATTTAACCTGGTGTGTTTCAACTACCCAGTCAGAAGGTAGGAAAAGTAATGATCCTTCCATTCTTCAAGAGGAAATTGTAGTTTGCTGAGAGAATCAATAATTTGCCTAAGATGAAATGCCTGGTAGGTGGCCAGGTTTGAATTCAGTCCCAACCTACTGTTGCAGGCCAGGGAAGGGTTTTCTTGACTCTCTCAGTCTTGTGACGTGGGGCTTTGGTTTTAGCAGCTTGGGACCTGTGATCAGAACCAGCTTAGGGGTTGGAAACAGTGGTGTGCTGAAATGTTTGACAGCCAGCTCTCAGTTGGAGGGTGGTGTGGTAGGAGAGATGTGCATGTGTATAGACCTAGATACAGACGCACGTACATACATACATATGCAAATGTTATTTTATTTCTAGGAGGGATATGAAGCACAAGTTACAAATATATAGTACTTTTTATCATAAATTTAATAGATCAGTGTGACAATCACCAAGTGTTATGAAGTCATACAACACATGCTTTATTACTATCTAGTTCAGCAAAGATGTTGCTAATGTCATTGTCGGATGCATAGTTTAGATTTGGGATTCAGTTCCAGTTTGAATGTTGATAATTTTGTTTATATTAACAAGTAAGATGAAAGAACAATGAAGACATATATAACTTCATTTGTAAACGATGAGAATGTCTACTCTGCTGAATTGGGCAATAATTTTCAAAGACTGGAAGAATGTTTCAGTGTTTTGTACTAGTTATTATCAAATGTAATGGCTGTATACTTCACATGCTTTTAAGCTTAATCTGCATTATTAACCTTTTATCCATCATTGCAATGGATTTATAGTTAGAAATTGATAAATAACTTGATCTTTGATATGCAGCATTTACAGATTTCTGTGGTGTAAGTACTCTTACCATGACTGATTTCAGTCAGAGCAACAGTCTGCACACGGGGTGGGAAGAGATGTGCAGTAGCACACCATCATGTCGTCCAGTAGAAATACAACAGATGTGCAGAACCGCCAGACCACAGATTATAAAATATAGTCAAACCATTACCTCTCTGTTAAAATAAGTTAATTATAAGCTTATATAATTTAATGTTTAGCAGTGGCTATGTTTAACAGCCAGCTCTCCGAATTCCTTAATATTTAATAATCAGCTCTCGCAGACTGGGGTGGGCCAACTCTAGGGCACTACTGTCGGGCCATCTAGCTTCTGACAATTCTGAATTCTATTGCTGACACATCAGTTCCTGCTTGGCCTTTACTCAGATGGGTTAAAGCACTGGTGTGTGTGTTGACTTCTTTATGCAGGTGAAGGTTGGGAACCATACCGCAGAAGGCGCGGGCACCAATAAGAAGGTGGCCAAACGCAACGCAGCCGAGAACATGCTGGAGATCCTTGGTTTCAAAGTCCCGCAGGCACAGCCCACCAAACCAGCACTCAAGTCAGAGGAGAAGGTGACTGCTTGGGGCTCTCATTGCAAGATGGATGGTCTTCTCCCTTCACCTGAGGGAGCTTTGGCACCTCCAGGGGCAAGCTTCAGGGCAGGGCTTCATCCTCCTGGCAGTAAAGTAGCCATGCCAACCAGTGTCTTACCCATTTGGACCATTATAGTGTGCTCAGAGGGGACTTGCATGTCCAGTGGCTTTAGGCATGGCTTTAGATTAAGTTATTATTGTTATAGTATATTTGTAGTCTGGGGATGTTTTGTTGATGGCGGCTTGCTCCATTTGTAGGATGATGGATAATTGGGCTTGAAATTGATGTGTGTGTTTCTGTCATTTGCACTCTTGAAATGATGCCTGCAGGAAAGATTCACAAGCCTTAGGCTTTATTAATTGTGGAGCAGGTTTTGGTTTTTCTGGGACGTATGAGATAGTGTGATACTAGAGTCAGGTAAATCCATAGTTAGGTTTGGCATTTTCCTTATGTGACATGAACACCTGATGAAAACAATCCTGTTGAAAAATTCACTTACGCACCGAGTGAAAATGGGACTTCAGCAAAATCTGTGGATGACTTTCTTGTCACTTGAGTGGTCCTGTTGGCATAAACTTGACACTGATTCATTCATGTCTGCCGGTTGTGCTGATAGTGAGAAACAACATCAGCCCTGGCATCAGCATGGATCCTCGACTTGGCTTTGGGTTCTTCATTCCAAAATCTTGTGGAGGATTCATCAGCATCACATTGTTACTTCTCAGAAAGGAGACCTTGTGCTTGACAAAATTCTTATCTGGTAACATTTTCCCTGTGTTACGTTGGAAATATTCTTGATTTATATGTTTAGCTTCAGTCTAAAAGCTTCTTCCCCATGTTGGTGGCTTTAGGAATCTAGCATGTCTGCTCCTCCTTGTTCAGCAGAGCACAGGCTCGTCATGCACAGGTTAACGCACTGTCAGATGCTTTTCATGCACAGGCTGGTGTGGGCGAAGGGCACACTGGGAGAAAGAGGCATGCGGTGCCAGGATGGTATACACACACCAGTGGTCACGTTTTCTGCTGATTGCTTCAATTGATGCTGGTTGGAGTTTATGTAGTTTTAGTTAACAGGAACTAATTTTTTAATGATTTGGTTTATGCTCATGGTATTTTTTTTTTCTTTTTCTTTTTTCAGACACCAGTAAAGAAACCAGGGGATGGAAGAAAAGTAACCTTTTTTGAACCTGGCTCTGGGGATGAAAATGGAACTAGTAAGTGTGATCTTAACATTGTCTTAATCTGCATGTGACTGGGATTTGCATGGTTCCCGATAACAGTAGGACTCAGTCATTGAATCCCAGCATGCAGAGTGTTTGCATCTGCGTCACTGTCCATGTTGCTGCTGCCACACATGCCCAAAAGAGGGCCAGTGGGTGGTTGGCACAAAGTTATGTCGTCTTTCCAGGCAGTGGACGTGGCTTCATGTTTATCTGCATGTGCCCTCCCCAGGTAATAAAGAGGATGAGTTCAGGATGCCTTATCTCAGCCATCAGCAGCTGCCTGCTGGAATTCTTCCCATGGTGCCTGAGGTCGCCCAGGCTGTAGGAGTCAGTCAAGGACATCACACCAAAGATTTCGCCAGGGTAGCACCAAATCCTGCCAAGGCCACGGTAACTGCCATGATAGCCCGAGAATTGTTGTATGGGGGCACCTCGCCCACAGCTGAGACCATTTTAAAGAATAACATCTCTTCAGGCCACGTACCCCATGGACCTCTCACAAGACCCTCTGAGCAACTGGACTACCTTTCCAGAGTCCAGGGATTCCAGGTAACTATTGGGCCTGAGCTGTGAGGGCTGTACATCAGTATAGTCATACCTGGGCTCCTCGCAGAAAGTGAGCTTTGGACCTTGTTTTTCAAATTCTTTGAATAGGGGGATGGGTGGGGGAATGGTGGTGGAAGGGTGGCCTTGGTGAGAGAAGGGAAGCATAGAAAGTATCACAAGCATAGATAGTAAGAGAAAATCCTTGTCCTTTGGTAATGAAATTTTTTTTTTTTTGAGACAGAGTCTCACTTTGTTGTCCAGGCTAGATTGAGTGCCGTGGTGTCAGCCTAGCTCACAGCAACCTCAAACTCCTGGGCTTGAGCGATCCTTCTGCCTCGGCCTCCCAAGTAGCTGGGACTACAGGCATGCGCCACCATGCCCGGCTAATTTTTTATATATATATATATCAGTTGGCCAATTAATTTATTTCTATTTATAGTAGAGACGAGGTCTCGCTCTTGTTCAGGCTGGTTTTGAACTCCTGACCTTGAGCAATCCGCCCGCCTCGGCCTCCCAGAGACCTAGGATTACAGGCGTGAGCCACTGCGCCCGGCCTGGTAATGAAATTTTAAAATCCAAGACAACTCTAAAATCAAAGCCTCTAACCACTAGTAGTGGTTGTAAATTTAGATTTCAAAGAGAACAGATGTTGACACTTCCTGCCTAGTAGAAGGACATGGCTGTTTCCAGCCCAGGGGTTCTGAGTAGACATCTAGGTTCCTGGAAGATTCTGGGCTGGGGTGCCTCAGCAGCAGTCCCCTCTGGCAGGGCAAGTTATGGGCCCGGCGTGTTCTCCTTGCTTTCCTGGCCTGGAGCTGCAGCCCTCCACCCTCAACCCTGCTTATGGTCACGTGCCCCTGCCCTGGCTTCAGTTCTTTTTTCCTCCTTAGGTTGAATACAAAGACTTCCCCAAAAACAACAAGAACGAATTTGTATCTCTTATCAATTGCTCCTCTCAGCCGCCTCTGATCAGCCATGGTATCGGCAAGGATGTGGAGTCCTGCCACGATATGGTAAGTACTCCCTCAGGCTGAGGGGTCAGTTAGTTGTGTGGTTATGTGGACTCTTCCCTTGTTCAGCTTGTTACTGGCCTTGTAGGAGGATTCCCCCATAGACCTTGAGAACTGTTGATTGATAGTCTATATTCCTAAAGATTTTTTCTTAGTTGATTGGATCAGTCTCTCACTTTGTTGATAGGAACTCATCAGCCTTAGTCCACCTTGCCTGTCCGTTTCCCATGCTGGCCTGAGGGGTGACTGGGATCCACCCAGAGGCTGTATTCACTTCATTTCCTATCAGAATAAGGAATTGCAGGTCCACATTCTGGCAGCTGTAGAAAGCCCCTTTCTTTGGTATTCTGTTCAGGATGAAATTATTATTGTGAGAAAACTGAGAAAAGGAATTGATAAAATTAATCTAAGTGATTAGTGATATTCACTTGATGGAATATAATGTATCCATCAAATTAATGTCTCTGCAGATGATGCAAAAGAAGGAAAATATGACAGTTTTTTTGTTTGAAAGTGGGATATAAAATTTGTATAGTCTGGTTACCACAAGGTTAAAAATACTAGAAGGAAATATAAGTGATTCATTCAATGGATTAAGTTATTTTTTTAAATTTGTATATTAAATTAAAAATTTAACCATTTTATTAAGTGGGACCAGAGTTTAAAAAGTTGCCACCTGTTTATTGGGCAATAGGAACTCTTCCCTGCCTGTCTAGTGTATCATGCTGTGGTCCAAGCAGTGCCTGTCGTTTGACTTTTCTTTCTTTCCCCACTAGGCTGCTCTGAACATTTTAAAGTTGCTGTCTGACTTGGACCAAGCAAATACAGAGATGCCAAGAACAGGAAACGGACCAGCGTCTGTGTGAGTGCGCTGCTGTGGCTTCTCCGTGCTAAATTCTGTCTGCTGACTCTGGGGGGCAACAATTGCCTGAGTCACTTTCTGGCCCTTTTCCCTGAAAGGTTTCTGCGTTCTCTAGGCAGAGAGCTCCACTTTTTTTAAAAATTTAATTTGAATAGGTCATACATTCACATGGTTCAAAACTCTGAATTAGGCCGGGCACGCCTGTAATCCTAGCTCTGTGAGAGGCCGAAGCGGGCGGATTGCTCAAGGCCAGGAGTTCGAAACCAGCCTGAGCAAGATCGAGACCCCGTTTCTACTATAAATAGAAAGAAATTAACTGGTCAACTAATATATATGCAAAAAATTAGCCGGGCATGGTGGCGCATGCCTGTAGTTCCAGCTACTCGGGAGGCTGAGGCAGTAGGATTGCTTGAGTCCAGGAGTTTGAGGTTGCTGTGAGGTAGGTTGACACCATGGCACTCACTCTAGGCTGGGCAACAAAGTGAGATTCTGTCTCAAAAAACAAACAAAAAACTCTGAATTATTTTACAAGGTGCACAGTGACAAATCTTGCCCTCACACAGTCCCCAGCCCCCTCCCATTTTTATTAGTTTCTTGTATATCTTTTCTGTATGTATTTTTAGTGCAAATATAGACATATATCTTTCCTTCCTTTCTTCCTTCTTGCCCCCCCTCAAGATAACATGAACCATCTTTCTTGCTTTTTTCACTTAATACTGTATTCTGGGCAAATCTTACTTTAATCCAGTTATCATAAACTAGAGCCTGTACTGCTGGACTTGGTGTTTGCTAATTTCATTATATTTATAACATTAGCTTAATTTTCTCACATTTCAAAACTGTCGTCATTTTCATTTTTCTTCCCTAAAGGTGTGGGAGGTGCTGAACCTTTTCTGGCCAGGAACCATTATAAAATCCCAACATATATACTGAAAATACTGAAACTGCTTTGAAAATTTGGAATTTCTGATACCTCCAGTGGGCCGAGAGACACAGTGGGTAAAGAACGAGGGCAGCGGTGGTGAAGATGGAAAACACGTGGAGGCAGCCATGCTGGGCTGGACCGTGCTGGGGTTTATTGTGACGGCCACTCGGTGAGCAAGTGGTTCCACACAGGAGCAGCTGCACCAGGAAACCAGCACATCCATGCCCCAGGCACCTCAGTGCTTGGTCTTATCTTTTTATTTTGCTGTGTGAAAGAAGCAACAGAAAGCATGACCCGTTCTCAAACTGGCTCACTTATACTTTGGGACAAACCCTGGACAGCCACACCGGAGACAGGCCTTAGATTGGCCTCAGAGCTAAAAGCACCAGAGAAAATCAAATGCTTCTTACTTACTCAGTGTAACCTAACTTTTCTAGCGTGCTATGGTCCCACCACCTCCTGTAGTACCCACACCGAAACCACTGCTTTCTCTTCCAACAGTGATATGTATTCTTAGTTTCATTATTTTCTTTTGATTGATATGACACTATATAAAATTTTTCATTTGAGAGTTTCTCAATTGTATCTAGTTATATAGCACAGTTTGGAAACTTGTCTGAGACTGACTTTATCAGTAATCTAACCGGCAAAGATCATATCCATGTGTATGTGGTTATACATTTTTATTTTATTGGACTAACCCAGGACCATTTCAGTGATGCAAATTGTGTGCCCTCTGGTTTAGCTGAAACAGTCCTGGACTTCTCAGAACCTTGATGAAGTCTCCCATAGTTGTATAAATCGGATAATTTAGGAATTTTAAAATTTAGGTGGTCATTTGATTCCTTTTCTATTTTATTTTTGTTAATACAACAGGACTTAAATGAACTTTGATCTTTGTTTTAAAGATTATGAAAATTGTGTCTATACATATGGCTCTTGAGGACATAACTTTCACTACACTACAGGATATGATCTCCGTGTAGTCCATATAAACCTGCAGATTGATTTTCCTTGAGTGCTTGATACTGTTAATTACATCTCCATGTAGGGCTGAAAAGAATGACTTATGTTTCTCTATACAGCTGTGTTGCTTTGATGTTGTGTTGCTGTACACAGAAATGTGTGCACCGAGGTTCTGCATATGGTCCAGATGAAAAGCCTGGTAGCCTTGCGAGTTAAGTATGCTTCCATTCATTGTTTACGCTGGAATTTTGCTCCCCATGGAATGTAAGTAAAACTTAGTGTTTGTCACCAATAAATGATAATACTAAATTTTTTTGTTAATTTATTCTCAAATGCCACTACTGCTACATTGGTTCCTTCCCAACTTGGCCCCTACCCTTTTTTAAGAAAATTTGTAATGCTTGTGAGTCCATCTGGGCAAAAATCTAAAGATCTGAAATAACTTTATATCAAACTATTGATCAATAAACAACTACTAATGAAGTATTTGGTCCTGTTGAGCAGTAACTGAAAAAAATAAGGGAAGCCTGGCAAGCAGGTCAGCACAAGGAGCATTGCTGCCTGTGAGGGGAGTACGGGCACCTGAACCTGACATTGCTACCCAAAGAAGTGACCCTGAAGAGCCGAGAGACTGCGTATGCGTAATACTTCCCTTAGGGGCTCTAATGTCTTATGGAAACTGAGGAGGCTGTGTCTAGTCTGCCCAAAGGGCAGGCTGGTTGGTTTTTGTTTTTTAATTTGATAAGAACTGGAAGATCATGAAGGTGGTTTTTCACTATAAAGCTAGTCTACGGATTGGACTACCTGAATAACCAGAACTGATCAGAAAGTTATGGAAAATGCTAAAGGTGAAGGGGAATTCAACATTTCGAGGATGAAAGCAGGAAAAAAAGATGTCCTTGTGTCTTAAAGTAAATAAAAAGGGCTGGGCATGGTGGCTCATGCCTATAATACCAGCAGTTTGAAACCAGTCTGAGCTATGTAGCGAGACTTTGTCTCCACAAAAATTAGGAACATTAGTTGGGAGTTGGTGGCACATGCCTGTAAGTCCCAGGTACTTAGGCCCAGAAGTTTGAGGTTGCAGTGAGCTACAGTGACACCACTGCACTCTAGTCCTGGCAACACAGTGAAACTTGGTCTCAAAAATAAAGGGGAACCACAGATAAAGCACAGAAATCTGGTAATTCATGGAATAAAATGCCATCTACTTGGAGAGTGTGAAAGTGAAGACAGAACAGGGAACCAAAAATTTAGAGAGGTGGAGGGTAGGGAGAGACCTTCACCATCACTAGATTCTAGAGACAGTGACCATGATGATGAGGTAAGAGTTAAGATTTAGAGATAAAATGTAAAACGCTGTTACAGATGCTCCTCAACTTACAATGGGGTTATGTCCTGATTAACCCATAAGTTGAAAATATTTTAAGTCAAAAATGCATTTAATATACCTAATCTACTAAAACATTGCTTAGCCTGGCCTACTTACCTGTGCCCAGAATGCTTACATTAGTTTGCAGTTGGGCCAAATCATCTCATGTAATTAATTGAATAATACTATACTGAAAGTGAAAAATGGAATGGTTATACGGGACTTGAAGTTTGATTTCTACTGCATGAGTATCATTTTCACATCTTTGTAAAGTCAAGTAATTATAAGCCAAACCATTTTAAGCCTGAGAACCATACTTAGCAGGGAACAAGTTGTAGTGTAAGCTAGATCCTCATTTTTTTTATAGCAGGGAGTTAACAAGTGTCTTGATTACCCTGAAGACATCTGTTATCAAGAAAATGAATTTAATAGTGAAGAATTAAGGGAAACCCGTACAACAGAGGTTCCCAACCTTCTTGGCACCAGGGGCCAGTTTCATGGAAGATAATTTTTCCACAGACTGGGGGCATGGGGCTCAAGATAGTGATGTGCAGCCCATTTCCTAAGAGGCTAAGGACTGGTACTGGGCCCGCGGCCAGGGGGTTGAGAACCGCTGCCCTAGAAGAACTAAAGGTAGCACTAGTTGAAAGTGGTGCCCCCAACAATGAAAGTTGCCGTAGGGCAGACACTTATTGCAGTTATAAATCCAATTTACTATAAAAATTTCACCACATGCATGTGATAGTTTGATTAAATGTCTGATTATGCTTCACAAGTAAAGAAAAGAAATACCATTTTTTTTGCTGGGCACGGTAGCTCACACCTGTAATCCTAGCACTCTGGGAGACTGAGGCCGGAGAATTGCTTGCAGTCAGGAGTTCCAGACCAGCCTGAGCAAGAGTGAGACTCCCCCATCTCTACTAAAAATAGAAAAATAAGGTGGGCATGATGGCATACACCTGTAGTCCCAGCTACTTGGGAGGCTGAACTAGGATCGTTTTAGCCCAGGAGTTTGAAGTGGTTGTGAGCTGATGCCACAGCACTCTAACCTGGGCAACAGAGTGAGACTCATTTTCACCCATAAAAATGGCAAGAAAAGAAATAATGCCCAGTATGGGTAGAGGTGTCCTATAGAAAGGGACACAACCTTTGCACAAGATAATTGGTCCACTAGATTCCTTCAGGAAATAGAGATACAAAGGTTGACACACATATGTCCTCCCTAGAGTTGTCTACAAAATAAGAAAATGTGCAAGATGTCTAACAGTGTTTATATTCTGTATTATAATTTGGCAATGATATATCCAAAGGATAAGTCATACACATCTGCTGAAATTTACCGTAAATGCTATCTCAAAACCATAAAAGTGTATACACAGAATGATCTAAACTTTTAGGGGAAAAAAGAAAACTAACAAAAATGTTTAAAGTAGGTAAGAATATGAATGACTTTTAATTTTTAAATATTTTTCTGTACTTTCAAAGTTCCCCATAAAGAAAATACATTTAAAATAATAAATAAATTACGTTTAAAGACATGATCAAATACCATGGAAAGTCAGTGGACCCAATAAGAAGCTATTGAGAAACTTTGCAATGACATTCCGCCTGTTTGTAAAAATGCCCTGGGGTGTGGGATTTGCCTGGGCCAGGACTGTGACACACTGGGGCAGTGTTTGGCACTGCTCAATAACAAACACTGTCTCCCAGCCAGGCCCCCTCCCCCAACTTAAAGAAATAAACTTCCAGCAGCTTTTATTTATTTACTCTGTATGGGTTCTCTGCTTAAGTCTTCTACGTGTATTATCTCATTTCATCTTCAGGGCAGTTTTAAGAATATATTATGATACTCAATTTTCAGAAGAGGAAATAAAAGCAGAGAGGGTCAAGTCATTTGCAAATGGTCACAATCAGTGGCAGAGCCATAGCTGAAACCTGGCTCTTCATACTGGACAAAGAATGGACACTGAGCTAGTCACTACCACTCGTCAAAAGAAAAAAACCTAATTTCATCAACTTCAGTCTACCATGTCTTAACAAAATCTTCAAAAGCCAGCTATAAAAACTGTCTAGGATGATGGAATAAGAAGCTTTAATAGAAAGCATTTAAAAAAATTAACTTGAGAATATTGTCAACAAATTATGCCAGAGTAAAAGTGAAAGCACAGGTCTTCCTGTTCAGTAACTATTTTAAAAGGCACACGTGCTTGGCATTTACAAAGACAATCTACTAAATCTTTTGAACTGAAGGAGGAAAACATTCAGAATATGATTAGTCCTGATTGTGAGATGCGGAATCAAGCATCGTCTGGAACAGTATCTGCTGTGCATTACTTTAAATGTTCACCAGCGGCTTCACCAAGAGCAAAGCCAATACTTAAGCATGTTTAAACACCAAACATACAGAAACCATCAGCACCAATTCCCTGCTTTCCATTCCAGAATTTTCACCTACAAACTGTAGCTCTTAAAAACAGGTTCCGAGCCGGGCGCGGTGGCTCACGCCTGTAATCCTAGCACTCTGGGAGGCTGAGGTGGGCGGATTGCTCGAGGTCAGGAGTTCGAAACCAGCCTGAGCAAGAGCGAGACCCCGTCTCTACTATAAATAGAAATAAATTAATTGGCCAACTAATATATATACAAAAAATTAGCCGGGCATGGTGGCGCATGCCTGTAGTCCCAGCTACTCGGGAGGCTGAGGCAGGAGGATTGCTTGAGCCCAGGAGTTTGAGGTTGCTGTGAGCTAGGCTGACGCCACGGCACTCACTCTAGCCTGGGCAACAAGCGACACTCTGTCTCAAAAAAAAAAAACAGATTCCGAAAGTATCTCAATATCCTTCTGCCAAAGACCACTTACACCAAAGTAATAACGTAAAATTTAACATTTCTATTGTGTCAAAACCAACGAAAACAAAACTTAAAAGATTAGATGGTGTAAATACGCTTATTAATAGTGTTTTAACACAACAAAAACAAATGTAACAAAAAGCATTTGAGCTGTGTGCCTGAGATTTAAACAAAAAAGGACTTGAATAACTTCTGTGAGAAATCACTTAACCTGGGCAGGAAGAGATTCCAGTTTACACGACACAACAAACAATTCCAGCTTAAGTAAACTAATTCTTCATTTCCTAAAAACGAATGGTATAAAACTCCACAGGCCAGAAGGGAGCCAATGCAGCCTTTGGGGGGATACACCCACTGCTGTGGCTCCTCTTGGACCTCAAGGTTCTAAGGTGCCATGGTTTGGAAGGTTCCAAGTAACCTCTGATCTGCAGGGAAGAAAGACATTGTGAAAGAGCAAACATCCGTACTCTCAACAGTCCTGTGAAGCCAGGCAGAGCATTTCTCTCACAGAGGGAACCACTTATCCAAAACTGCCATCTAGGAACTGCTATAGAATGTTCTAGTAGATAAGCCCCAAATCTGTATGCATGTCCCCTTTTCCCTTGTAGAGAGAAAGAAAGACAGACTAATCTGAGTTTAAATGATTTAGAAATTAGGATTTTATGGAGTCCAGGAGGGGACAAGGGAGAAATTTAAAGCAATTCTTCATTTTAATAATAGTATATCAGAAGCACCGAAAACATGTCCTTCAGATTTTCTTAGATACATATTTTAGGGTTTTTATTGCTGATTACAGATTTAAAACTATGAAATATGCACTGCTTCGCAAATTACACAAGTAATTTTTTACTTATTCACATTTCCAATAAAAGCTTAAAGAAACAGACAAAAAATACAAAGGTCAAGAGAAGTATGAATGGCAACAGCTTTAAAACAGAAGGATTTAGTAACAGTAAGAAGTCTCCACAGCCAGTGACCATCAAAAATTTAAAATTATTCAAACCGTGCAAATGCTCGACTGAAATCAATGTCATACACTGAACTATTAATACTTGGCCCTTGAAGTTGCAAACCAGAAAAGTAACCCACTTATGTTTATGATCACACAAACCACCTAATTTGCTCAAGGTTCAGCTTAAAGCAACATTTAATATCCTTTATAAGATGGAATTTGTGAAAAGTTCAAAAGGAAAACTTGCTGTTTTAATCCAGCTGTTCTCAGAAGTCTACATGATTTCCTGGGAAACCATCCGGGCATAGCCAATTA